TCTACTGAGTGAAACACAGATTTAGCAGCAGACCTCAGTAATATCAGTCATATAAAGTAGTCAGATGAATAACTTTAGGCATTCATTTTATATGATATGAAAGAGGTAAATCAGTAACACATTCTCAGACTTGATGACTTTCATTATAATTCAAGGTATCGTTATTTTAAAACAGGCATATTTCTGATATAAGCTGAGAATGCAGTCAGATGGGGAAAGATATGTAGCTGCTGAGGGACAGACCTGTCGTTCTTCAAGTTCTAAATTTAATACTTCTCTGCTTTCAAAACCTTTCTAGTTTTATTATTTTTGAATGCAGCCCTGATGGCGATTAAGACGCCTTGTGGCAGTTATAAATGCAGTGTCACATATGTGTAAAACACCTGGTGGTGCTTAGAGTAGTGTCTTGAGCAGTGTCTTGCTTGAAACGCCAGGGAAACTGAGGTGAATTATGACCCCTTGGGCAGATGCACCCAGTGTCTGCTGACTTAGTGTATTACACTGTAAATGTACATTTCAACTTGCTTTGGCAGTTTCTTGTATATTTCTTCCACTTATTCTGGACTCTTGTAGCATGGGTGATTTATGGCTGTTTTTCAGGTTGGCTTACATTCTTGCTCTGTAGTTTACAAAAAATTTAAAATACTACTTCTCTCCACGTTTACTGTTTTCTTTTCACCTTTTACTTTTCCACCTGCTGACTTCTGGAGAGAATCTGGTGTTCCAGAAGTTGTACCAGGGAAGGGTACATATAAAGGGCTGTATATTCATACTACAATTTCCACTCTATCTATCTTGTTAAAATGCAATTTTCATTTTTAATCGGTTTGATAAAATAATAATTCAAAGAGTGTACAACATTAAAAGCCATGAAAACACCATTAAATACCTGCAGTATCATATTTGATTCTCATGATTTCAAAATGATATCAAGGTACAATAAATACACCATTTATAGCTTCAATACAGCAAATAAAATAACTGTAAATAAATATAATTTTAATCTGAACATAACTTTCTCAAATTTGGCAAGATGAGCTCAGTGAGTGTGTGTCGCAACCAGTGTTGTGCTAGTTACTGAAAAATATTAACTAGTTACCGTTACTAGTTACTTCATTAAAAAGTAACTCAGTTACTTAAACCAAAAGGTAATGCATTACTGAGAAAAGTAACTTTTTAGTTACTCCCCCCACATGCTGCTTCTTTTGTGACGAGATCCATCAGGGTGTTACCTCAGGTCTGTGAGAGGCCTCATTCATCCAGCAGAATCTCATTAATGTATACATTTGATTTTTATAAATACTGAATTACAAACTGCACATACAGTCAGTCAGTGTTGAACTTGTTCACAGGTATTACTTCTGTTATTACTGGGTTCAAAACTTTGATCTCTTAAAGGCATCAAATTCGTGAATGATTCTGTCTTCAGTCAAGTATCCTGTTTGCAAATCATTTCAGTATTATGATTATTATTATTTTAGTACATAGAGTCTGACACACTTCAGACTGTTCCTGAAAACAAGCTGGTTGGGCTCGCTGGATAAATCCTCCCAATGATGGAATGAACATGTTAAGAGGATCAGATGAAACATTTTATCCTCATGAGAGCACACACACAGTTGTATGTCTAACTGGCGCTCCCTACTGGCCAACACAGAAACAGTTCTCCATGTTCTTGTCATCTCAGAAGAACATTTATTAAACAAACTACTAAAAATAACTTTTAAATACATAATTAAAATACACTCTTAAATACAATGAAGCAAATGATTAGTAAAGACATAAAAATACAATTTAAATCTTCAGTTCAAACTTCATACAAACTGATAAATAAAACAAAAAGTGCAAATGGCAAATGTGCGTCATGACATAACAATGAATCAACAAAGTCACTGAATCAAGCTGTGAAACAAATTAACAAATACTTTGCAGTATAATCCAAGTCTGATTTATCCAGTTGTATTCTCTGTACTTCCTGAACAGACAGCCCTTTCTGATGCATATTTGCTAATCCTAGGAGAGCGAAGGAATCACTATGCTCTCTATGATTGTCTAGAAATGTTGCTTCATTGGTTGGATTGGTTGGGTAAGAATGGCAGGGTAAGGCAATCAGATGTAGAGTAAGGTGGGCCATTTCTTCGCTATCCAAGGATTCATAAATTTGCCTTTCTGACGGGGAAACAGAAAGTGAAACAAAAGCCCAGGTCAGACCCAAGATTCATGACGAGACAAAACTGTTTTAGAACGCTGCAGCAAAAAGTTGCAGCGGTGTGAAGTGGACCGTCTGAGCTCGACTCAAGCCGGCTGATGGTGTCACCTGACACTCAGCTGGTCAAATTGCCGGCAGCTTGTTTTAGAACGTAAAGCACATCAACTGTTTCTACAGCCAATCGGCTTGTAGTGAAGTTCGCAGCTCAAGTCAAAATGACGACGTGATCGCTTGCTACAGCAAGGTGCTCTGTCCTGGGCAAGCCTTCTGTTTCCGTCCTCTAGTGTGCACAGTCCATCTGATGCTGGCTTTGTTTCATCACTGTAGCCAGTATCTCACTATCACTATCCTCATTCAGATTTTAAGAAGCTACGAATTATATTCAGCCACAAAATAAGTCTGAACAGCTGCAAATCAGAACAGAAGTACAGAGAGTTGTTGACTAGAGATGATACGCCGTCTCATGGTGGTGACTTGGTGTGAACCAGCAGGTCATTAGAACTACTAGTTGCCTGTTTCAACTCGTCTCGTCATGAATCTTTGGTCTGAACTGGGCTTTATCTCTGCTCTCTTTAAAGCCAGACTCCATCAACAAAAACAGTCGTTTTAATTTAAAACATCCAAACGAAACCCTTTAAAATGCCAAACTCGCACAGTCATACAAACAAACTAACTGATGGAGGCAGCAGTAGACCAGCAGCTCCTGTGTTCAGAGAGGTAAAATTACTGGTTTGTCGGTGGAGTCTGGCTTCGAAGAGAGCATGGAAAAATCTGACTTCAGCTCAGTTTTAAACGGTAACGTGTTTGCAAAGCGTTTGTAATCTGATGTTGTGATACAGTTTTGCTGTTGTTAAAAGTGGACCCCTTTGACTTGTATATGACTGCTTCTGTTCAGCCAAGTCACCAGAAAATAACATTGGCATTATTTCTGCAAACCACCAATATGTTACATTTACACATTTCATATGAATCAGATTAATGTTAATTGCGTGACGTACTTTGACACTGGGAGGTGGAGGGGACAGTGGATGGCGTGTCACAGAGGAGAGACGTCTGCCAAGCTGCAGACCACTGTCTGAGACCAACAAACAACAACACCAGTGGTGTTTAAGTGACCAGCAAGGGAGGAGCCATGAATCCTGGTTGTTTTCCACCAAGACATCATTGGCTTCTCCAGCTGTGATTGTGCCACCAAAACTGGGATTCATTTAGCCCAAACATGATCTTTTCCTCACCACAACCAAGTGGTTTTTGTGCCAAAACCTAACCACACATTAATCACAGTGTTGCTGAAACACAAAGTCTCAACTAACCACTGCATAATAACATGCACATGTGATGTATCTGTGGTTTGCAGAGACTTAGAATGCCAACATTCTTTCTGGCTTCATTATTTCAGGCAGGACGGGTGGATTTTTGAGGAGAACAGCTACTCTTACTGTTCACATACTGACCTGGTGCCTAGTGGCAGCTTTCTGAAATGTTCTGCAGTGTGTGTGACCAACTGAAGGAGGAAGTGAAAACATGGAGGTAAACTCTGTGACCGGAGTGTGTTATACTGTGCTCACACTCAGTCAGTTTAAGATTCTTCACTCTACACTCCATGATGTCACAGAGGTGAATCCATCATGTCTTTTTCAAGAGCCTAATCTCCATCTTCAGGTAGGTTTTAAGGTTCTCATCAAGGACGTTCTCCTCTATAGCGGCGAGTGCACGGTCGCCACCGTCGTGGTAGTATGCCAGCAGCTGCTCTGCATGTTCGATCCACACGCAGTTATGACAGCCACTCATGCAGCAGTGGGTGGGAGCGGGCGACGGGCCCTGGTCAGGAGACCAGGTGGAGGTACTGTGGCTGGGTTCAGGTTCAGTGCAGGAGGAGGAGTCAGTCAGTGCAGGAGGAGCAGGCGAACCTGGTCCAGAAGAGAAGCGGCGAATGGTACCGCTGTATTGACCTCTCCTCCACGACTGCACCGTGCAGTTATGGGACTGATGTCTCAGGTGGAGCAGCGAGAGGATGCACAGCTGAAAGACAGAAGGATATGAGCTGGTTAATTATGATGAAACTTTGAAAACATCTTGCTTCCTGTTTGTTTCTTCTGTTCTAACAGCTTTGATAAATTCTATTTTCATTTATTGATGGCGGTGAGAGAAGACAGCAAACTTTAATTTAGCATTTTTTTAAGGTGTAAGAAGCCACCAGAGAATGTGAAATGAAGGAAATTATTAAAATGTGCAAAGTGAGTGAGACAGAGATCGGCAAAGAGGAAGTTTGACAGGACTGCTCACAAAGCTGTGATGTCATCGGTTACACTCTTACTTATGCTGTAGGAGCAAACTCTACAGTAATAGTTGGGGAGACCGGGGTTGGTTGGCACACAGCTATCGTCTGGTCCTTTAGACGTCACAGAAACAAAAACATAACATCAAAATGTTTGCTTTCTTCACCTGCACTCATCTACTGTGTTAAAACATCTAAAAGTCCCTTTTTAGGTGATGGTAACATTTAAGTTTTATCATATCTCAAGTTTAAGAAATGGTCGTGAACTTAACTAATGAGCTACATTTTGATAAATGTGATCTGAAGGTCTGTGATGAGTGACAGTAGCTGGCTGACGTCATCACATTACAAAGATGGGTCAAATTGTGAAATTAAGAGTTGTGACTGTGACAATGTTTGGAGAGATAAAAACTAATTTGAATATTGTTAGTTAATTGTTATTATTTTGAATGGTCAATGGCAAAAGTGATTAAACATTACAACTGATGAATTGTTTAAAAATGGATGTTGAAAAAGGCTTTTCTGTTAAATGCTGATGTTTTCTGGTTTCTGTTTGAATAAAATGTTCAGGTTAGATCTACTGGTCAAGTCACTTGATTTGTGTTTTTTTTGTACATAACATTTTAACCTTGTGCCAACCAACCTGCGCTGAGGAGAATAGTTCACACGGCCGAAAAGATCTCTGGATGCGAGCTGCCCAGTCTGGAGGACCTGTACACCCAGCGCTGCCTCAGCAAAGCCCTGAGAATCATCAGGGACCCCACCCACCCCCACAACAGTCACTTCACCCCTCTGCAGTCCCAACGGGTCAAAGGATACAAAATCCTCAAAACACGAACAAGCAGACTGAGAAACAGTTTTATTCCCAAGGCCATCAGACTTTTAAACGACAGGAGAGGGTAGCTGTGCAATAACATGACACTATGCACTTTACTAGAGTGATGCACTGGTCCTGTTTTTATAGATTATCGATTGGTTATAGGTAGTAGTGATTGCTTTTAGACTTAGTTTTTAAGGTGCTGTCGTTGTTTTGTTTTGGGGTTTTTTAAAGGTGGAGCTTCCCAGACTAAGAATTTCACACGTTTGTACCCAGTTAGAGTTAGTGTGACAAATAAAGCTGAACTGAACTGAACCTTGATGGCTGGTAGTAATGCACAACATTACTTTAATCACAAATCCCTTAATTTTACAGCATTTGTGTCCATTAAAACACGTTTATTTGCATCTGACATCTTAACCTTTCATTTGCAGCTGGTTTTCTAACACAAATTATGACAGAGAAGCAAGTGAAGACTGTTCTGACAAGTCAAATTCAATTTGTACAACCTCAGATACACACAAAGCAATCTTACCTCTGAAGCTGCTGAAATGTATTTTCTTGCACACAAATGACTTTACCTACCTGTTCTCATATCAGTGACACAACCCTGAAATGTAACTGACACTTGCATTGATGTGCCAGAGATAGATGGAGATAACAGACTCTAATGTGACTGCAGTCAGTAAAGTACATGGTGTAAACATCCAATGATAGTTATGCTAACTCACAAACTCCAAAGCTTTGGCTCAAAGCTTGGCTAACTACATGTACCAATACTGTGTCTTAGAAATGAAACATATAACAGACACATGCCGCTGTTAAAACACTACAGTATATTTAATACAAATCTTATCAACCACTGTGGACCAAAGAAAATATAACGTTAAGGTCAAACTGAGCCTGTCAGCTCTGCCAGGACTGATGCTAGTTTGTTAGCTTCTCTACCGTTAGCTTTATGCTAATGTTAGCTTAGCTACTAACCTTCTGTAAAGACAGCGACGATCTCACCGCGTTCACACCCAAACACAGCATCGTCTCAGCTAATAAGAAGCTCAGTTACATGTCTGTGTGATTCATTTCCTTTAAACTGTGGGTTTTATAACGTTGCTGCCTCCTGGATGTTACATGAACGGCACCTTGCGAGCCAGTTGCGTCACTTCATATTTCCCTGATGACCTTTTGTGCAGCTATAAACAAAAACGCTGATTGGCTGACAGGAAATATTCTCACCAATCAAATAGCACGCTTCTAAATTTTAAACCAATGGAAAGCGTAGAATGGTTTCTGGGCGGATCCCAAAAGACGAGCTGCAATACTAGTCTCTGTCCAGCAGGTGTCAGTGTTTCATTTGTATGTGCAGGCTCCATTAAGAGGCTGTAATCTCTTAATGAAGGCCATAAAAATATCACATCAAGTTATAAATCATACATTACACCATCAGGACAATATATGTGGTCTATATGTGGAAATGAATTAACAGTGGAACACATTTAATACATATAATTAGTAAATAAAGAATATTTTATAGTGAGTTTTTCTCAGGAGTCAGAACATGTCATTGTTACATTCATTATAATAATTTAGCCCAACAGTTTTATCCAAGGCGACATACAGTACAAGAAGTGCGTTCATCCATGTGCATACAGCCCATAAAGTGCAAAAACCATGCATCATCAAATATGCTGTAATTTAAGTTCATGTTTGTATTGTTGCCACGCACCACTTAATTGCACTGAACACTCAGCGCCTAATCAGAGCCACGTCATCAGATGCTGAGACCAGTTTCTATGCAACTGCACAGATCAGCAGTAAATACAAGATTCCAGTGACACTGGTTATCTGTCATGTCGTGTCAAGTCATGAATCTGATGACTTTAGACTTGACTCATGTCAATCATAATGACTTCATATCCTCCCTATACCTGAAAATAAAAAGTGATAAACACAAATGTGTCACAGTAAATTAACTCTTTACTAAATGTTGGCATTGTTTCTGCATACCATGGATATGTTGAAATTGTACATTATCATGTAGTGGAAACAAAACTTAAATTTTCAACAGTGCTATGGTTGACGTGGTTATGTTTCAGCAGAAAAAACACTTGTTTATGGGCAGAGGAAGACCATGGTTTGGCTTAAAACATCAGTTTTTGGTGGCACAATCCCAGTAGGACATAGTAAAAACAACTGCTTTTCATGGCACTATCCCAAAAGGAGAAACACTGATGGGTAGCTACAAAACACCCATGTTTTGGAGCCTAAAATGTCACAGGAAAGCACTGACGAGTCGCTACAAAACATCCACATTTGGAGTCTAAAAGGTCACTGAGAAAACCATAGATGGGTCACTCTAAAACACCCACATTTGAAGACTAAAAAGTTGCTGAAAAAAACACAGACAGGTTGCTACAAAACACCCACATTTAAAGCCTAAAAAGTTGCTGAAAAGGACACAGACAGGTCACTACAAACCCCCCAGGTTCAAGGTATAAAAAGTCACTGAGAAAAACACAGACAGGTCGCTACAAAACACCCACATTTGGAGCCTAAAATGTCGCAGGAAAACAATGACAGGTTGCTACAAAACATCCACATTTAGAGTCTAAAAAGCTGCTTAAAAAACACAGGCAGAATGTTATAAAACACGTTTAGAGCCTAAAAACCCACTGAGAAATACACAGATGGGTCACTCCAAAACCCCCAGGTTCAAGGTCGAAAAAGTTGCTGAAAAAATGCAGATGGGTTGCTACAAAACATCCACATTTGGAGTCTTAAAAAGTTACTTGAAAAACTCAGACAGGATGCTATGAAATACCCACGTTTGAAGCCTAAAAAGTCACTGAGAAAAACATAGACGGGTCACTTTAAAACACCCACATTTGAAGCCTAAAAAGTTGCTGAAAAAAAAACAGACAGGTGGCTACAAAACACCCATGTTTGGAGCCTAAAATGTCACAGGAAAACACAGACAGGTTGCTACAAAACACCCATGTTTGAAGCCTAAAAAGTTGCTAAAAAAAACACAGACAGGTCGCTACAAAACACCCACATTTGAAGCCTAAGAAGTTGCTGGAAAAAACACAGATGGGTCGGTACAAAACACCCACATTTGAAGCCTAAAAAGTGGCTGAAAAAAACACAGACAGGTCGCTACAAAACATCCACATTTAGAGTCTAAAAAGCTGCTTAAAAAACACAGACAGAACGTTATCAAACACGTTTGAAGCCTAAAAAACCACTGAGAAATACACAGACAGGTCGCTACAAAATACCCACGTTTGAAGCCGAAAAAGCCACTGAGAAAAACATAGACGGGTCACTTTAAAACATCCACATTTGAAGACTAAAAAGTTGCTGAAAAAGACACAGACAGGTGACTACAAAACACCCACATTTGGAGCCTAAAAAGCTGCTGAAAAAAACACAGACAGGTCGCTACAAAACACCCACATTTGGAGCCTAAAATGCTGCTGGAAAAACGCAGATGCCTCGCAACAAAACAACCAGGTCTGGAGCCCAAAACGCTCCTGAGAAACACAGATGGGTCGCTACAAAACATCCACATCTGGAGCCTAAAAAGCTGCATGGAAAATGCAGACAGGTCACTACAGGTCACTACTATGTCCTGGAAACAGCAATGACTCGCCAAAACACAAATGGCTTTGTTGTTTCATGGCCTCACTTTTTTAATGAATTGACATCATTCCAGACAGGATGTGAGTGTGTCTGTGACTTCCTGTACGGACTGAAGGCTGCTGGAAACTGTAGGGAAACTGTCCGACTTCACCGCGGCTTTTTGTCACCGCCCCCCGCTGCGGACGCCTGCTCTAGTCTACTTTCCAGACGAGGCGCAGTTCATCTCCAACGAGCCTGTCAGCTCACACACAATGTCACTTCAGAGAGGCTGATAAGATATGTATAAAACTTGCAAATGTAACATCTTTGTGGTTTGCAGAAACACACAATGCTGACATTCTCTTCTGGCGACTGGTCTGACAAGCAGCAGGTGAGGGTGTGTTTGGCCGAGGGACAACAGATGATGCTACAGATTATCACAGTTGAAAGTAAAGACTCTGCTGTGGTCAACAAAGAGCAGGTGGCAACATGGAAAACATGATTTTAAATGCTCTAAAATTTATTTCAGTTTATATATACACATTTTCAACTGCATTTACTATCTCTGTACATGTCTTATAATCAGTGTTACATAGTTTAAAACATTTAAATTGAATTAAATGTCATGGAGGTGAGCATAATGACTTGTTTAGGAGACTTGGACTTGACTCAGAACTCATATCCAAGACTTGAGATTTTCTTGTGACTTGCCAAACTTGGTCCCACCTCAGGTAGAGGAAAGTGATCTGTTTCTGATACACCTGTACTGAGGCTGAGATCATATATCTGTTACATAACGTAAGCAGAAACTATTATTACAGGCTCAAGAACAGTTTTCGCCTTGAGGTATTTCCACTGGCCTAGATTTGGATGAATTATGTCTCGCTGCGCTGAGAGAGCATTACAGCCACAGTGAAGCAGATTTGGCCGCTGAAACGGCTCCTTTATGCTCATGACTGAACGTAAACCTTCTTCTTCTGTGGTCTTTCTTCGTGTGTTCAACCATCCTGCACCGTAGCTGCCAATTTCTTAACTATTTGACCCATCCACTGATGCATGACGAGATGTGTGTGTGTGTGTTTATGAAAAGGCAGGAGTGTGAGTCTGAGGTCCCCGCAGACCTCAGTGTTTGCAAGCCACATCCATGGTAACGTGGTGTGGAAACACAGCAGCTGCTCGGCCTGGCAGGAGATACCAGGTGTGTGGTGGGGCATGTTATCTCACCAGAGGCCGCAGCCACAATGTGACTTTATCCCGAAGAGAGGTTCTCCCTCCGTCGCAGTCACGCTTCATAGAAACTCAGACCTTTATTCAAACACATAAAGCCGACCACAATTAAAGGGCTGCTGATATTATTCTGAAAGAACAGATGGGTCGCAAATAGTCTCCGCAGAGTAACAAATAGAGGGAGGCTGTGTACACAGACAGAGGAATGAACAAAGCGTTTTATTGGCCTCCATGATTCAGGCTCAATCTGGTGATAATGGTTTTATCATGATCATAATAGATTCCATTCCACAGAAGTTTTTATTATCACGAGGCGTTCCCGATGATAACAAAAACCTCTCCTCCTTATTTCACCCTATAGCCTGTACAAGAAGGGCAGAGCAGATTTTACTCATGGGGTGACATCATGTTGTGGATAGACTGCAATAAAAGCTGTGAGGGTGGATCAGTGTTGTCAGAGTTACCCAGCTGATAGTGTAAGTGAGGTAGAAGATACTGAAACTGCAGAATTGAGTGATTGACCTTTCGCTAAGCCCCGCCCCTTTGTGATGGTCCAACAAGCTGTTGGAGTAAGCATGGAGCCCACACTGTAACTAACTGAAGATATAGGATCATATTTTTGGAGAAATGAAAGAGTGATGTCAGAGAGAAGCAGACAGAGGGGTCTACAGTCTGTGTTTGAAGGATATACTTCAAATACTATACTTTAATTTCACAGATAAGAAACAATAAATTGTGGAGACAATAAAGCCTCCACGAAAATAGCATTTTAAGACTTGTGTGTGATTTATCCTGGCTTCAAATGAGCAGAGGAAATCTCTGCTAGCTGCTAGGCTAATTTATACAATGGAAAATGCCATAGGTTTGTGCTAATAACGTTAGCATGTTGTATTTGTAGGGAAAATGTGTCCAGATAAAGACAAGTGTTTGTCTGTGAATGCTGCGAGTTATAGTGAAGCTGATTTGTGTTTGAAACTGTCTCTATTAAGCCATGTTTAATGTGTGTTTAATGTGTGTTTAATGTGTGTTTAATGTGAGTTTAATGTGTGTTTAATGTGTGTTTAATGTGTGTTTAATGTGTGTTTAATGTGTGTTTAATGTGTGTTTAATGTGTGTTTAATGTGAGTTTAATGTGTGTTTTGAATCAATTCAACTTTACAGCAATTCACAGAAACCTCCGCCGCCCACTAGTGTTTTGGAGGTGTAACTGCAGAGTGACACAGACACACCACCGCACAAGTATAAATGCTCACAGCAGTGTAGGCTACGTGCATAATATTAACATATTAATAAATGCAGCTTTAAGTA